CATACTTACTAAACTTTGTAATAGACATTAAAGAAGATCTAAGTAAATTAAGATATATGTCAAGTTCAAGGATAGAAAGATTTAACATCATAAGGATATAGACTCCATCCCCAAATGGCTAGAACTCATACAGGAATTCAGCAACGTGGCAGGATACAAAATCAATGCACAGAAATCAGTTGCATTTCTATACGCTAACAATGAGACAGAAGAAAGAGAAATTAAGGAATTGATCCCATTTACAATTGCACCAAAAACCATGAGATACCGAGGAATAAACCTAACCAAAGAGGTAGAGGTTCTGTACTCTAAAAACTACAGAACACTTATGAAAGAAATTGAGGAGGACACAAAGAAATGGAAAAACATTCCATGCTCATGGATTGGAAGAATAAACATTGTTAAAATGTCTACGCTCCCCAGAGCAATCTACACATTCAGTGCAATCCCTATCAAGATACCACTGACATTTTTCACAGAGCTGGAACAAACAATCCTAAAATTTGTATGGAACCAGAAAAGATCCCAAATAGCCAGAGGAATGTTGAAAAAGAAAACCAAAGCTGAGGGCATCACAATCCCTGATTTCAAGCTATATTACAAAGCTGTGATCATCAAGACAGCATGGTACTGGCACAAAAACAGACATATAGATCAATAGACCAGAATAGAGACCCAGAAATGGACCCTCAACTCTATGGTCAACTAATCTTTGACAAAGCAGGAAGGAATATCCAGTGGAAAAAGGACAGTCTCTTCAATAAATGGTGCTGGGAAAATTGGACAGCCACATGCAGAAGAATGAGCCTGGACCATTTTCTTACACCATACATAAAGATAAACTTAAAATGAACGAAAGACCTAAATGTGTAACAGTAATCCATCAAAATCCTAGAAGATAACACAAGGAGTATCCTCTTTGACCTCAGCCACAGCAACTTCTTTCAAGACACATCTCTAAAGGCAAGGGAAACAAAAGCAAAAATGAACTATTGGGACTTCATCAGGGTAAAAATCTTCTGCCCGGCAAAGAAAACAATCAACAAAACTAAAAGGGAACCTACAGAATGGGAAAAGATATTTACAAATGACATAACAGATAAAGGGCTGGTATCCAAGATCTATAAAGAACTTCTCAAACTCAACACCCAAAAAACAAATAATCCAATCAAGAAATGGGCAGAAGACATTTACAGACATTTCTCCAAAGAAGACATACAAATGGTCAACAGACACATGAAAAAATGCTCCACATCACTTGGCATCAGGGAAATACAAGTCAAAACCACAATGAGATACCACCTTACACCAGTCAGAATGACCAAAATTAACAAAATAGGAAACAACAAATGTTGGCGAGGATGCGGAGAAAGGGGAACCCTCTTACACTGTTGTTGGGAATGCAAGCTGGTACAGCCACTCTGGAAAACGATATGGAGTTTCCTCAGGAAATTAAAAATAGAGCTACCCTATGACCCAGCAAATTGCACTACTGGGTATTTACGCCAAAGATACAAATGTAGTGAAAAGAAGGGGCACCTGTACTCCAATGTTCATAGCAGCAATGTCCACAATAGCCAAGTTGTGGAAAGAGATCAGACATCCATTGATAATTCAATGGATAAAGAAGATGTGGTATAGATATATAATGGAATATTACTCAGCCATCAGAAAGGATGAATACTTACCATTTACATCGACTTGGGTGGAACTGGAGGGTAATATGTTGAGCCAAATAAGTGAATCAGAGAAAGACAATTATATGATTTCACTCATATCTGGAGTATAAGAAACAGTGTAGAGGATCATAGTGTAAGGTAGGGAAAATTGGGAAGTCATCAGAGAGGGAGTAAAACCATGAGAGACTCTTAACTCTAGGAAACAAACTGAGGTTTGCTGGAGGGGAGGTGGGTGGTGGGATGGAGTATATGGGTGATGGGCATTAAGGAGGGCACGTGATATGATGAGCTCTGGGTGTTAAACACAACTGATAAATTATTAAACACTACATCTGAAATTAAGTATGTACTATATGTTGGCATTGAATTTAAATAGAAAAACCCTAGGAACCTGTATTCATCAAAAGACAGCTCAGAGGTGGTGAAATGGGAAGTTATAACTGGGAGAAGAGATTTTCAAATAACATAACAAATGACGTATAATATAAAGAACTTCTAAAATCATTTTTAAAAGTACAAACAAGTCAGTAGAAAAATAGGCAAATATTACAAATGCACATTTTGTAGAAGAGGAAATATTTTATAGCCAACAAACCTGTAAAGAAACATTCAACCACAGTAGTTAGGATAGAGAGTGCTAGGTGATCACCAAACATTTCTTCTTTTTGTACGCATAGGTAAAATAAAATTTCCACTCTTCCCTGCAGATAGGAGTGGCCATGTGAGTAGGTTATAGCCAATGGTATGTTAGTAGAAATGATGCACACAACTTCTACATCTGGTCCCAAAGACTTCATGCATAATCCTCCTCTCTCTCTTTTTCACTTACATCCTTGAGGCCATATGTTGAAGATAGAAAACATTCAATCAACATAGGTCCCTGAATGATCCTGTGGAACAGAGTCTGTGCTAAGAGTAGGCACAATACATGACTGTACATTAATGAGAAATAAACTTTTATTGTGATCAGCCACTAAACATTTGTAGTTTTCTATAGCATCTAACACTACTCCAAAGAATACATTAATAATTAGGGAAAACAGATTAAGACCATATGTCAATAAATAATAATCTCATATATTTTTATTATCTGTTTATTATGGGACTGAAAACTGACATAATCTCTTTGGAAACTATTCTGCATTATCTTAGAAAATTCAAAATTTATCTACCTTATAACCCAACATTTCTCTCTTCAGGATATACTCAAGAGAAACTCTTGTATATGAACACCAGAAGAATGTTCATGGTAGCACTGTTCATGTTAGCAAAAACCTGTCAGCAACCAATTGCACACCAACTAGAACTGTCATGGTTTATGTAGTCACACAATGGATTATTATATAGTAGTCAACATTAACGAACCTCAACAATATGAATGAATCATTTAACATGAAATGAAAAAACAAGTTCTAAATGATTCCTTACAGCATAATGCCTTTTTATAAAATGAAAAAGAAAACATAAAAATGAGATGAAAATGAATTTTTAAAAAACTGAATGATGAACACGGGAGTAAGAATGGTGGTTGCCTGTGTTGTGGGGAGACAGGTGGACTAGGAAAAGACCACAGAGTTAGATATAAACTGCTATAAAGATTCTAGTTTTCAGGGGTGCCTGGGTGGCTCAGTCGGTTAAGTGACTCTTGGTTTTGGCTCAGGTCATGATCTCAGGGTCGTGAGATTAAGCTCCGTGTACGGCTCGCCCCTGGGTGTGGAGCCTGCTTAAGATTCTCTCTCTCCCTCTGCCCCTCTCCCAACCCTGCTCCCATGTGCGCTCTCTCTCAAAAAAAAAAAAAAAAGAAAAAAAAGATTCTAGTTTTCATATTGGGTAGTTTCATGGGTGTTATTACATATATATAGTTATATATGTGTGTTATATATATATACACATATATATGCATGCATATGTATATATAACTATATATATACATATATATGCATGCATATGTATATATAACTATATCAAAACAAATGCATAAAAGAAGACCCATTGGCATGTGCCAATTATGGGAATATCTTATGAATGAAGGATTTTGATTGATGCAGTCTTTGCACCTGAAGTTGAGCAAGATTGTGGCTTGAGAGATAACACCTCTGCTACCTCAGACTCACTGGCCTGTAGTGAAGATATCTAAAGGAATCATGAGGGCCCCCTGCAGGAGTTTTGGTCTCAATGAGAGGCTACAGTAGATAAAAGTAGACGGTGAGACTTTTACTGCATTATTGCTCAGCCTGTGCTAAGGGAGACTCAGGAAGTGAAGCAGGACTATTCAGAAGACAAAGGCCACCCAAGGATATGGCTTCTGAGGGTGGGGGGTTGGCATCAGCAGGGAAAATAGGCAAAGATTACCTATGCCTGATGTTTTCAGTCGTGAATTGGTACCGATCTATCAACATCTGAGGACAGGCGTCAATGACTTTGCTTATGGGACCAACAGCTCACACAGGCAGGGCGGGTAATGCGAATGTAAGCCAGAGGCATGGAGATGATGGTTTTGACAGTCACAGAATTTTTGAAGCACCTTTTCCTGACTTGGGCACATTTTTATTCCCATATTATAAATGAATGAACAGAAATTCTGAGCAATTAAGTGGCTTTCCTACATTCAGCTTTTAGCAAATTGAAGACTACTTCTTGGATAAAGATCTCAACTTCAAATCCTCCACAAAGTGCTTCCTCTATTGTTTATTGCCATTGAGGTACATAGTGGGCATTTTATTTAATATATATAAGAATTTTGTGAGGGGTGTATTACTGCCTTGTTTTATAAGTAAAGAAATTAAGGGGCAGAAAGAGTAAGAAATCTATACAGATTCACATATTGGAAGCAAAGTCAAAAACTCTAATCCAGTGGTTTACTAAATTTCCATTGCTTAAAAAAAAAACAACAACTCATACCACTGCTGCCCAATAAGGTCACATTTATCTACCTTCTTAAGGAATCAGCAACCCCTGCACCCCCCAGTAAAGAACTTAAAACCAAAGGGACCATATTCCCTGTATGCTTCCTACTCCCACCCCAGCCCACTGGGCCTCTTTTAGAAATTTCACAGAAGTATGTCCTCATCTTGGGGGAAATTTGGGCTGTCTACTAGGGAAATTACTAGATGTCTACATTTCCTGACTATGGAGGTCTGAAATTTATTGTCATAAAACAGGAAGTGTGGCAACCATAATTCTCCCTTCTCAAAACAGAAGGGTTGTGGTTTTCTTTCTGTTGTCTGGGTTCTGGGACTTACCTTTGGTGTAGAATTCTGTTTCTTTCTTTATCTACCATAGACTCAGCCTCTCCACCCCCCACACCCACCTCAACTGCAGCATTTATTCCTTGCTAATACCACATCCAATGCACCCCAAACACAAATTATTTCTGGTAGCTTCCTTCAAGCAACTTCTAACACTTAATGTATTATCTCATTTTTTAAAATTATAAGTGGCCATGCTAATTGTATAAAAATTATGAGGCCTAGGAATATAGGAAGAGAGCTTAATACTGTAATAGACAATAAAACAATAATTTTCTTTGGCATACAACTGATGATATACACAGCCATTGTGGTATGCTGTTTTTAGACACATATTGAGAAGTTTACTTAGGGTACTATAATTTCCATTAGTTTAATACAGTCTTTCATTATGGCTTAATTCTTGTTACTACAAACACAGAGGTGTCTCTTTTTTCCTTTCCATTTACTGAGGAGGGTATGCAGTTGATATTTTGTTGCAAGTGCAGAGAATAGCCAGGATGCCCCAAGACTTTTCTGCCTTTCTCTTGCCTTTCTTCCAGTATGGCCAAATGAACTCTGTTTCCTTCTGCATATGATTTCCATTTGTCTCTGGTGTTCCCTCCCTACTATATGCCTACTTCTTGCCTATATCCTATGTTTCCTTGAGTAGTCCTCCTCTTTTTTACTCCTTGGTCAGCTGGACCAGTTCTAGGTTGGTGTGATGCCAATCAGTATAAGGCTGTGACATCTTTTGGTCACAAGGCTGTACCTGGTAGCAGGGTCTCTCTAAACTGCAGGCAGGAATATCTTGTGACCACTGGAGCCCAGGAGACTATTACAAATTCTTAAAATACACTCAAAAAGCCTGGTCAGGTAATAAAATCTACTAAAATGGAGATTCGGGTCAAAACCAGGAAAATTTAAGCCTGAATGTCTTTTCAGGGCTTTGTTGAAAAACATTGATCAGTTTGCTTGGTCATCTTGGCTGTCTGGTTTTCAAAGGGATTCCCTGGCAGATTCCTGACCTGGCCAGACCTCTGTCCATTCCTGTGAACAATGCTTTCTCTGCTCCAAGCTTGGCTCCAGGAACGCTTCCCTAGGCCTGTCTTCAATTCAGACTGAGGAGGGCCTCTGCTACCCCACCTGAGGTAGGGGTGGGGGAGCATGTGAACAAGGGTCCCTTGGGAATAGAGGTGCAGTCAGGAAGCTGAGTTTATCTCTCTTCTACCCCTGCTACTCTAAATATTGTTTTTACCTGCTCAGTCTGCAGTTTCTCCTCAGTAGTAAGGGCATGTGCTTTGAGGATAAAACAGAGCCTGGCAACAGCCTAAACCCTGTTGATCAGTCAAAAATGCTCAGTTCTGTGGAAACAGACTTTGTCACTATATCAACTGAGTTGTCTCCATAAAATGACCCTGTCTCCTGGAGATGGCTAGCACCCAGTCCCCTAAAGCAGAATATCATTTCCCTACATAGGCAAGGACCTCTCATCGTAGATAGATGGAGAAAGGGATCATTGACTAGATGCCTGGTGCAGATCTAAAACGAGTCATGGGTGTGACACTCACAGGAAGTGGAGTCTTGGGGGAGCTGCTGGCCCAGAATGGGGAGTTTGCCTCTGTTGTGTGATGCGAGTATATTTGTGGAGGGGCTGTGGAGCAATTTGTTAGGGAGCTCTGTCAGTGACCTGTGGAAGACTGATACACTAATTTGATATTCTATATTTCCTGGACCAATCCCAATTATATATTTTTTTGCTTTCTCCAAAAGCATATTTGTCATTCTTGTCAGAGGCCACAGAGAACTGCAATCATTTGGCTGCCTTCTCACAGATCCAGCGGAAGTTGATGTCACATGGTGCAGCATCGTATGTCTTTGTTAGGCCTATAGTCACACAGTTGAAATTCTGATGTTGATTGGTAACACTAAATGGGAGAGAAAGTGTGGTGAAGGCCAATCGTTTCAGCTCTGCCTTTACTGATTCCATTCCCCCCTCCCCCATCCCAAATCCAGCTCCACACCCGCCCTTTCTAGACTCACGGTCTTGGATTAACTCACTCTTGTGCTTGGTTAGAAACATCTCATCTGTCTTTTCCTCTCAGAAATATTGTTTTAATACTGCATAGGCTATGTTCACAGTAGGAGGAATGAGAGCAGGAGGAAAGAGGTTGCTTTTCCTTTTGTAGGCACCGGCTGGCTTTAGGAGAAAGTGTGTTGGCCTTCTCCCACCTCTTTTTCTGTCATTCAATCTGACTGGAAAGAGTCTGGTTTCACGGAAACATCATGAGTTTTGGAGTCAAGGGGATGTGGGATTAAATTGTGGCTCTACAGTTTCCCAGCTTGATGATATTCAGTACATTTTTAAGCCTCCCAGCTTCAATTCAACTGTTAAATGAGGATGAATAAAAGCTTTTTCTACAACATCTTTGTGAATACCGTAGGAAATGACATGAGTAAGTGCTTAGCAAGTGCCTGGCATTTAGTAGACATTGAACGAATCGTAATTTCCTTCTTTCTGTGAGAAGCCCAGTTATAGGCTAGGGAACTGACTTGCTCTCTGTCTGACTCAACATCTTCATATGTACACCAGGAATGTCATGTTCTCCATCAGTACTTTACATAAAGAAGCCCCATCTGGGGAATTTATAAGAACTTAGTAATAAAGTATGGTCTATGTGTTAAAGGAGACTTATGAGATATATCAAACAAATGGTATGTATATGGATTTGTTTGGCTCTTGATTTGATGAAAATAACTCACTGTATGACTACTCTTCTCTCTACTTACAAATGTTTGATATCTTTCTTAATAAAAGTTTACCAAAAAATGTGTCTCTGGAAATAGGTGAGTTGGAAGAAAGGAGAGGAATAAAACAAAAAACCAAGTCTCAGCCTTTGTGATATTCCAGGACAAACCCACTGAATCTCAGGACAGGTTTCTTTAGGTGAACTAAGATCCTTAGAAAAATGTGAGATATTCACATACTTGCCATTGAATATGGAGTTGTCAATCCAACGCCAACTGTTCTTTGCTTGCTGGTATAAGCCAATAAAATACTTCTCAGCACCAGTTTTGTCCTGGAGAAATTTCTAGAAATTAAAAAAAATAGTTCAACAAAAAGTTTTTTTGCTGCTGTCTCCCTTTGCCAACAGGCCCTGATTCTGGGAACATGGAAGACTGATAAAGGACTCTGAGGCTGGCTACAGCTGGCACTCACCATAACCCCTAGAGTAGTTTTCACTAGGTACAGAGCAACAGGATCACCTGGAAATCTTGCTAAAACACAGCTTACTGGGCTTCTGGTTCAGTAGGTCTGGTGTAGGGGACCAAGAATTTACATTCCCAACAAATTCCCAGTGTGATGCTGATGCTGCGCTTCAGGGATCACATTTTGAAAATGAAGAGGAAGGGTACTATATGATCTAAAAGAGGGCACTTTTGAATACTTCTTTTTTATTTGGAACGCCTCTCTGCATAGGATTATTTCATTGCCAGAAATTTTACATTCCAAATGAGGTTGATCAAGTGAATCTCTTGAATACTTTTCAAAGCAATACAGTTAGGGAGATTTAAAAGTGTGTTGAGAAATAGTCAGTGGTTTTTGAGTATTTGCTAAATTGACACCAATCCATGATATAATAGTTTCTTTATTAAACTAATGAATCACAAATCACTCCAGCTTGAAGTCTGGGAGTCCCTGGGCTCTTTCCTGTACTCTTCACATACCTCCTGTAATGAGTGGATATCCAAGTTCACTTGGATATTCCCTCCATCCCCAGGGCTATTGCCTTTATTCCTCTTTTTCCTATATTCTCCTTCCCTGAAATATCTCATTTCATTATTCTTTAAAATTAGTTACTGTACTTACTCATTTAACAAAGATTTCTTGAGTGTCCAGTGAGCCATTGAACAAGGCTGGACATATGGAAACAAATTGGTTTCTCCTTAAAGAAATTATGATCTAAAACAAGGGTTGGCAAAGTACAGCCAGTAGTTTAGCCTGTTTTTGTAAATAAGGTTTTAAGGGAACACATCCAGGCCCATTTTTACATGTCATCTATGTCTGCTTTTGAGCCACAGGGGCAGCATTAAGTAGTTATGGTGGAGATCTTATGACCTGACATACATAAAATATCTACTCTATGACCATTTAAGAAAAACTTGCTGACCCATGGTTTAAAATAAGGGTTCTTAACCCTTACCTCTCTTACACTAAGTCATGGATGGTTACCAAGGGGATCTCTGAAGCTGTTAGAACTTTATTCAAACTATCATGCTAATGCAGTGTTTCTGGGATTCTATAGATTTCTGGACATCTCTATAGATTTGGCCACCATTTAAAAAGGTCAGCGATCCCAACATGGTGAAGATTCACTGGTCTAATAAGAGAAGACAGAGGATTTAACCAGCATGGTGGCAGGTGTCCTAGGTGTAGTGCTGGCGAACATGTGCTAGATATAGCACAGGCAGAAGGGAGGAAATGATTGATTCTACATGGATTTGGGGTTTTCTAGAAAGACTGCAGATGAAGTGATCCTGGGGATGGATTCTGAGAGATAGGGGAGGTTGTGGGTCAGGATGGACTTCCTGGAGGAGGGAGCATTGGATCACAGGCAGACTGCAGAGCAGCCTGGAGCATTTGAGGAACTCTAAGATGCTTAATGTGGTTGTGCAGAGGTAGAAGGGAGGTGGGTGGAGGGATAAGACTGGCAAGAAGGCAGATGCTAGACTGTACAAGGCCTTATGTGTCATGCCAGAGAAACCAGACTTTAACCCAGTTTAATTTGTAAAATAGCACAGACAGTTCAAAGGCTTAGAGATGTTATCGTGTGGGTTCTATGGAGGATAGGTAAGAAGGGACAAAATCAGGAGCAAGGAGAGGAGTTAGAAGAATTCTGAAGAAATCCAAGTGAGATATGAACAATTTACTGTGGAGAGAGAGGGGAAAAGACTTGGTTAGCAGCTAATTTAGGGGAGAAGAGAAGAGGTAAAGTCTCAGAAAATCATCAGCATTCAATCTTGGGTAACATGACTGCTTGCCAATACTTGGAACGCAAAAGGAGGAAGCAGGTGAGGTAAAATATAATTTGGCTCAGTTTTGAAAATGGTGAGTTTGTGATGCTTTTGAAACATCAGAGTGGATTTTGATATACTGTTTGTTCCAGAGATGACTAGCTGGGGATACAGACTTGAGATCACTAGCAAATCCTTGGTGTGATGAGATTTTTCTGGAGAATACCACGTATGACACTTGAGATGCGCCTGAACTTGAAAGTTGAGTAGAGGAAGAGGATGTCAACTTCCTCTACTCAACCCTTTATCCCTCTCTTCTCTTCTTTTCCCCTCCCCTGACCCCCACCCCATACTACTCCTGGCTTTCTACCATAAGACATTTTCCCTTCCCATTTGTATACTTAGCCGCAGAGGTAGCATCCTGACCCCTACTCTTTGTTGGACACCTGTTACCAAGACTCAGAGAGGGCCCTCTTATGAATTCTCCTCAACCACAGGAGGACTTTATAGAGGAAGGGTGAAAGATGGAGCACAGAGAAGTAGGTGTGCAGTATCTCCCACATGCCTAGCACTCAGTAGATGCTTAGGATTTGAGGGAGAGGCAACTATAAACTAAAATAACTTACGATCTAAAATTGATTAGAGTGTGGGTTTTAGAGTTGGTGAGATCTCAATTCAATTATGTCCTGTCACTTAGGAGGTGTATGACCTAGGTTAAATTATTTTTCTGTGCCCTAGCTTCCTCATATGTAAAGTATGGATAATAATAATACCTCCTTGGAATCCTTAGGAGGATAAAAAGAGATAGTAAAATAAAGGCTTTTGCATTGTGTTAGTCATCTTTATTATCATAATTATATACTGCAATCCCAATTCTATGACCTGATTCTTTGTTTTTCATATGGCTAATTTTGTTAATTTGCATCTTCCTTATTTATGAGGCCAACTTGGATGATGCATTAGCTCTAATGTAGAGCTAATGTAGCTCTAATGATACATTAGCTCTAATTTACAAATATGAAGTATTCCATAGTTTTTAAACAACTTTTAAACACATTTGGTCATTCCCTGCACTTTAAATATCCTGGCCCATCCCCAGGATACCAGTGCACTGCTAAGCCTTATGGAAAAGACTATAGAGTTTGGATTTCCCTAGCTCAAGTGATCTGAGGCATACACCCCACTGCTACTGAGAAGAGTCTCCCACCACCAGATTGAGAGCAAGGACCTTGGGCTCTCAGCCAGCCACCTCTCTATTCCTCACCTCCACCTGGCCCTTGCTCCATCAATCAAATTGACCCATTGCCCCACCATCTCCTCCTGCTGAGGCTGCTGTAGGGTGGGCCACTTTACTGTACCCCCCTAATGCTCTCACCAGTTTCTGTGGCGTGTCCACAATGGCCAAATTGGATCCTTCTGTTTTGCAAAAGTCCCTGCTTTTGTTCCAGGACAGTTCAAAAGGGGACAACAAAAAGCATCTTCTTTGATAAAAATACCACCCTCTGGAGCAGACTAAAGAAATCCAAGATAAGACAGTATAGGATTAGTGGTTTGGAGTGTGAACCCTGGAACTGAGTCAAAACATAGCGGGGCATGAGTTTCTTTATAGAAGTTATATCAATGCAAATCATCCTCCATCCTGGAAGAAATCCCATGCAGTCTAATCTGAATTTCCCTGTGGACAAAGTGAAGGGGATGAATTAGAAGATCTTTATGGCCCCATTGAGCAAGAACGTTCCATAAGCAAGGAGGTAATGGGAAAAGTGTCTAAGAACTCACCACATAAGAACCTGGGATAGAGGAGAGATTATCGTCATACACTGTACCTGTTCCGGAGCTCTCTCTGGGAACTGAGCTGACATTACTGCTCCCGATAGTGTGAGGAACTGAAACAAAAAGAAAACCTGAAGGTAACTGCATTATGAGTACAACACAAACATCAGAGCAGCTGTTTGGTCCCTGCAACTATTTGTCTCTGGGCAGTGGTGATGGGAAGGCCACCATTGGCTAGAAGTTTTCATTTTCTTTCTTTGAACTTTCCACCTAATTACTACCATTTTTAGTCATGCCCCACACCCCACGTCCTATTTCATATCTTTTTTGGAGGGGGGAGTAGGTGTGAAATGTTGAGAAATAGAACAGGAGAAAGGAACAGGAACGGGTGAATTTAGTACCAGAAAGGACACCTCTCATTCCTTTCCATTTATGCCTTCGACAGTGTTGCCCCCGCCCCTCCTGCCCAGCTGCTGTTTGGAGGACTTGCTGCTCGCGGCTGCGCACAGCATCTGTGCTGTTCTCCCCATCTCTGGTGCCTCTAGACCCATGTGAACACTCTTCTCCCATGGGTGGCTCTTGGCCCCACTCTCATCAGCACCTGCCAGCTCTAAGAAGTGAGGCTAATGGGAACTAGTTTCAGGACCAGGGATATTGACAGACATGGAGGCAGGTGAATGTTCCAGAGATTTCCTGTGGGCAGAGAAAAGTCCATTTATGTCTTTAAATATAAGTAGGGGAATTGATAGGCCTCTAAGAAGCCTCATTTTTCCTGAGAACACATTGCCTGGCCAAGCAAACAGTGCAGTGGCTCGGAGGCTGGTCAAACCTCTCCTCAGCTGCCCAGTTCTTTGTCCTGTGTGGATGAAGACCACTTTAGTTTACCCAGACACCACATCAGCTACTTCCAATGATATGAATGAAACATACCAGTTAGCATTCACTTTTTATTTCAGTTCCCAGTTCAAAGGCTCTTTGTATTGAAAAATAACCTGGTTTTCAGCAGAAACCATTTGGGGATTATAACTGCACAGAACTCCAAAAATATTTCATGAATACTGCTTCCATACAGCTCACTGTACTAGGAGCCTCAGTTGTTACAAAGATGAACAAGCAATTAACTTTCTCCTCAAGATGTATGTAGTAATAAATGTTTTAAGAGGAAGTGAGAGGGAGGTTCTTAGGAAAGTTTTAAGAGGAGGAGGTTTTAATTGGGAGAGCCATGTCTCATTCATCTCCTTATGCCCCTTAGCTTCTAGCATGGGGCCTGTGCTTTACTGAGGACAGCTGGCTGATAGCTCCTGGTTCTTACTCTTCTTCTGTTGTTGGTGTAGCAGAGTGATTGGTATACAAAAAGTGCTGGTTGTAATCTTTCAGTTTTCCTGTAGGAAGTAGGTTTCTGGTTTTTTTTTGTTTTTGTTTTTTTTTTTGTATAACAATTCCTTTAGGTATACAACATGTCAGAGTTTATAAAGTCCTTTCTCATGACATTACAGTGATTATATACAAATCATCCTCACACTCAGGAGGAAAACTGAGGATCACAAACTTCGATCAGCTTAGTCTGCGTTTCCCATCTATAAAAACAGGGGAATTCATTAGAAGATCTTTTGGGGGGGGCTCATGGGTGGCTCAGTTGGTTAAGCGTCTGTCTTTAGCTCAGATTATGATCCCAGGGTCCTGGGATGGAGCCCCGCGGTGGGCTCCCTACTCAGTGGGGAGTCTGCTTCTCCCTATTTATTTGAGAGAGAGAGAGATAGCGAGAGAGCATGAGCAGGGGGGGAGAGGGAGAAGTAGACTCCCCTCTGAGCAGGGAGCCCAATGTGGGGCTGGATCCCAGGACCCTGGGATCATGACCCAAGCCAAAGGCAGACGCTTAACGACTGAGCCACCCAGGGGCCCCTAATACAGTATTGTTAACTATAGTCACCGTGCTGTACATTAAATCCCTATAACTTATTCCTCTTATAGCAATTAGCATATCTTTATGGACCCTCCCTGCAAAATAATTTCTTAAGAGAGGAGGCTTTGAGGAAGGACTATAAAAAGTCAGCACACAAGAACCTGGAGGCTGGGAAGAGATCATTGTCATGTACATTACCTGTTCCATAGCTCTCTGTGGGAAGGAAGTTGACTTGACTTTCTCCAAAAATCTGTGGGACTGCAAAGAAAATCAGCTATTGGCCCAGCCCCAAAAGTGGCTGCAGGATGACTATAACAAACCAACATCACCCAGGGGCTGCTGAGGCACCGTGACTATTACTGTGAGATCTGGAGCTCTCTGACTCAGGTCAACGAGGATGTGTATGTGTTTTTTTTGTGAATGTGTTTACTTATTCGTATTCATATTTTCTTCCTGCTCTCTTACATGATAGGAATTGTGCCTTCAGCTGGGTGAAAGGAAAGACACCTCTTACCCAGTTGCTGTCTTTTACTCACATTTCCTTCCTCATTTATGTTCCCTACTGGTTTCTGGGACTGGAGAAGATTCTCACAGCTACAGTGAAACCCTTTGATTACAAGGCTTCTCCTAAGCGTCTGGATAAAAGTTTCTATGGACATGGAGGGAAATTTGTCCCCCAGTAAAAATCCCATTACCTCATCATGCAGCTCGTACCTCAGCCTCATCATTGGGTTGAACTGACGCTGATTTTCAAGTTTGAGGAACAATAACAAGCACTGATAAGTATTTCACCTCAGATTGCCCAACTAACACCGTAGCAGCAAAAGCTTTGTTTGGTATTCTAACCGTCAGACACTAGTCAGTTCTATATCTCCAAGGCAGACTGAGGGACCCAGCCCATTGCGTGTGCTGGGGAGTGAGAAGAGCATTGTCAGTTCCCCCACACTGGGTCATTGCCCTCAGTTGGGAAGACTTAGGCATGTAGCCTTTATATTCAACTTTGCATTCTGAGAGGAAAGTCAAAGAACAAGACAGTATGGGGTTGGGGTAAGAGGTTGCTCAAATACTCACAGTAAAGCAGAAATAAGGTCATTCCAACAATTTTAAGCATGACTATAATAAGCACAGAGATTATCATGTGCCAGTTCATGATGAAGGCGATGAGGAGGCCTGTGGGAATTAGATACTGTGCTCTAAGAGAGAGAGAGAGAGTATCACTTTAAAGATCTGGGAGCAAGTCTTCTTTCTAGCAGGACACATGCTTCTTTCTCAGAGCACCCTTGGGGGGCTTGAAAGGCAGGTGTGCCATTAACAGCTAGCTATAAGAATAAGGTCCAACCCATGCCCAGAAGACACATAGAATTTTGTACTGATTGGGAGCCTTTGAACTTGGCATGGTGCCTTTCCTTCACCCATACCTTAGCTCTAGACTTTAGCCCTATTAGTCACCTCCTAAACTCTGTCTAATGAAATAAATCCTCTCCTGGACTTTAAGAACCCTTAGCTTTGAAATGACCCTGCTCTCTAGGACCTTCTCTGTGGTCTTGGCCATACTGATTTCAGCTGTCAAAAGTCTCACTCTCCAAAAGACTATGCCAGGACTCTGTGCTCGCTTCGGCAGCACATATACTAAAATTGGAAGACTATGCCAGGACTCTTACAGACAAGACAGGTGTCCCCAAAACTCTTGGAATTGGGGAAGGGCCAATAATCTGTGCAGGGAGGACAGACAGACAGACTCACCTGCTCTCTCTTGGGAAGGCTGGCCTAGTTTGCAGGTGGGGATCTGCCTGGTGGCCTTACGCCTGGTGTGGTGGGCAGAGGAAACTTCAGAGAATATGCTCCTTCTGCTCAAGCACTGTCATTCCTTCTTTACATGGTCTTTCTATCTTGGCAGCATCCCTGAGCAAACACTTCTTCCTGTTCAATGTTCTTGACAATGGGAGCGGGTGGGGCAGGGAGGGGAAGGGAGTTTATAGCCTCTGCAAGAGGAAGCTTCCTGCCAGAGGGTTTCTAATACAAGGGGACATTTTTCTTTTTTAAAGAATTATTTATTTATTTTAGAGAGAGAGAGTGTGTGTGTGTGTAAGCAGAGAGAGAGAGAGAGAGAATCTTCAAGCAGACTCCCCGCTGAGCATGGAGTCTGCCTCAGAGCTCCATCCCAGGACCCTGAGATCATGACCTGAGCCAAAATCAAGAATCCAATGCTTAACCAACTGAGCCAACCAGGTACCCCTAACAGGGGAAGCTCTTTAGGAGAATTTGGAAAACCACCTTGACACAGACTCACCCTTTCTATGTGTCTGTGTCTCCTTGAAATACAGTGGGAAGGAAAGGTAGTAAAATGTTAACAAATAGAGAATTTGGGTGAAGGGTACCTGGAAATTATTTGTACTTTTCTTGCAACATTTCTGCATATCTGATATTTTTTCAAAATAGAAATTTTAAGAAAAGAAATCTGCCTGAAGTCACTAATGTTAGTGAGCAGGTCTTCCTGTGCCCCATCTGCTCCATTCATTGTCATACAGCTCTGCACAGTACCCTTTGTCATGGACTCCTCTTCTCTGGCCCCAACTGCTCACTCTCCAGACCATGTGCCATGTGAGGATAGGGACCATTCAGTATTTCTTGAGTATGGCATTCTGCTAAATATAGGAAGTGCAGTGAGGGTGAATAATACTAAAGTCTTATTATCAAGAATTTGTACTACATATTAAATTTGAAGTTTTCCTTTTTTTATATTTCCCGTAATATAAAAGCTACATGTGCTCATTATAAAAAATGGCTAGAAAATATTTGTAGGGAAAATTGAAAAAACAAAGAAAGTCCATATAAATTCACATATTTAGCTCTAGTCACTTAACATCCCTGGGTGTATGTTCTTTCTAGATGACTAGGTAGTGAAAAGATAGTTGATAGATGTATGATAGCTAGCTAGCTAGCTAGATAGATAGATGATAGATACTGGTTCATTTAGAAAAATGGGATCATATTGTATGCATTGTTTTGTAATCTATATACTATAGATTAAGCTAGCACTATATAAATATCCTTCCATGTTCAAATATAGATTTTGCACTTACAAATGGTCAAAATGGAAAATTTTATGTATATTTTACCACAATAATGAAATGAAAAAAAAGAGAAAAACTGAGATTTGACTTTGGTAATCTTCACATGATATTAAGATGAAAATGCAATCTTTAG